TTCGGGGGGCATCGGCGCAGCGCAGAACGCGCTGGGTCGCGGGCCCATGTTCGATCCAGCCCTTCGCTATATGCGGCCGATGTCACTTGCCCTGCAAGGAGGAGAGGGCCGAGCGATGCAATGTGCCAGTTCGCGAAGCTTGCAAGGGTCATGCTCGACCCGTGCGTGGCCGCCGACGGTGGGCTGGGCGTGTCTGTTGCGATTGGCGCGAGAAGCCACGCGCGTTGGCCTCAGCTGGCAAAGCGCGCCCCGCGGCAAGCCGCGATCGCTGCCGCCCTGCGCGCGTCAGAAATGGCGAGCCGCTTCTTTTGGACCGCCTCCCGAACTTTCGGGCGACTCGGGCGGGCGCCACCCCCGCCGTTATTCGAATGCGCGTCGGCGCGCCATCCCGGTGTCCGGCGCGCCTGCAAGTCCGCCTACGATGGCGGCGCGAAGCCGCGTCCTGCAATGCCGCCATGGCGCGAGGGTGGCATGCGCCAGACACCAGGCCTGCGCAGCAACAAGTGGACGCGCGAGGCCACCCGGCCAGGGTTGAAACGTCTTTCTCTACATAGACGGGCACATAGTCTGCACCGGTGTCGCCCCCCCCGAGCCCCTGCCCCGGCTCTTCAGGGAATGGCGCGGCGGTTGAATCAGGGGGATGGGGGTGCTCGGAGTCGCGTTGGGCCTGGCCACTTTCGCGTCGCTCCTGTCTGGCCGATGCGTGGACATCTTCTCAAGTCCCGCAGGCGACGAGCGGGCTCTTTGGTCCGGCGCGTCGAAGCAATTCGACCGCGCTTGCCTTGTCCGTTAAATTTGGAGCATGGCGCGCTGTGCAGACTCTGCAACCAGCGCATTCAACGCGTGGCGTCGGAGGCCAACTGCGCCGACTTGCCATCGTGCGACGCGCGCTCCCCGCCGCGTCGCATGGGGGCTGACTGGATTCACTCGGCATTGGGCGGCGCATGTTTCGATCCGCCCCTCCGCCAGCCATGGCCGGCTCGGGCGCTGGGCGCGAGCGCGGCGCCCTCTCTTGTCGGTTCGGGCGAGCCCGCGAGGGGGCCGCCCCTCGCGCGCGTCCCGCCTGCGCCTCGCGCCGCGAGCGCGCGCGCATCGCGGCGCAGTCGGCGCGCTCGTTGCAAATGCTCAGGGAAGGTGCGACAAACGCTCGCGATATGGCGCGGTGAGATCCGGGCGCGCGGCGGGCTCGACTGCCGGGCAGTGCCTGTCCCCCTGCGCGTCAAGTCGCCCCTTGGAACCCGCGGCGCCGCGCGTCTCCTCCTTTCGCCACGCCTCCTCGCCTCTCCTCCCCGGCGCCCCCCCCCCCCCAATCGTCTCCCGGGCCAATTCGCGGCGCGCCTCGCGGGCTTGCCGCCCCCAAATGGACGTGCGCTTCTGGCCCCGGCTGGGGGGCTCGCGCCTCCCCGCGCGCCGCTGACGCCAGCGCCTCGCGCGAGAACCCCCCCCGCGAGAAACCCTGGGCGGCCCCGGCGGAGGCGCCCGCGTAGAGCGGGCCGCGCCCACTTCGGCGCGCCGCTCCTGCGCGTCGCGCCGCGGGGAAGGGGCCGCCTGCGCGGCGACGTGAGCGCGCCCTGCAAAGCCCCCCGCCCTCGCGCGGAGACGTGGGGAACCTCGGCGCAAGACCGCGCGCAAGCGCGCGTCGCTGGATAAAACAACGCAATGTCACGGGGGCGGCGGGCCATGGCTCTCGCGTCGTCGGGGCCGGCGCGCGACCGCGCTTTTGCGCGCGAGCCCGCTCGGCGCGGAAAACGAGCGACCGCCGCCTTCAGCCGCGCGAGCTACTCCAACACCAACCGCGAACTCAACGTCAACCGCGACGTCCAATCAGCCAGCGGGGCCAAGGGGCGCGCGCGCCCGTTTTGTTCGTCGGCGCGCGATCGGGGCAGGAAAAGGGGGGGGGCTTCTTGGGGGGCGGCTGCCCCGTGGAAGGCGCCGCCCGCCTTCCTCGGAAGCCAGGGGCGCGCCGTTTCTTAGCGCCCCGGCAACTTCTCAGAAGCGCGGAGCTGCTTGTTAAAAGCACAAGCAGCATCTTAGAAGCACGCCGCCTGTTTCTCTCATAGAAGCACGCCAGGAACAGCTTCCAAGAAGCAGCCGCAGGCTTCGCAGATGGGCCTCCCGCGCCTTCGTAGAAAGGGTGTGCTTCTAAAAAGCCCCGCCCCCGCCTCCCGTCGCGCCCCCCGCTGCGCGCGGCCGATCTGCGCCCCTCGAAGCTTTGGCGGGGAGACAGATGCACTGGGCGAGCTCGACTGCAATGCCAGACGAAGCGGGCGTCGACATGAGCACTTGCGCCTTGCGCCGCCGCTCAGCCAGGAGCTGCGCGCGACGCCCCGACGACGGCGTGAACGCACGCGCGCGCGCAATTGATCCACTCGCGGTCGCGCGTCCACGCGGGGCCATGCGCCGCGGGGGAGAATTGAAACAAAAAGCAATGAAAAGAAAAAAGCGCGCGCGGCGAGCAGCCCGCGCGAGCGCGGGTCACCTGGCATCCGCACTGCAACCCTGGCTCTATAGTCCTATACAGACTCAGCGCGGACTGGACAGGCTTGGATACAAATTCGGTAAGGACCCTACAGGAGCCTACGCAGAGCGGGCGCGGCCTGTATAGGACACTGCACAAAGCCGGCATGGACCACATAGGATCCTACGCAGGGTCGGTACGTACTGTATAGGCTCGTATACCGATCCAATGCGGACTCGTGTGCAGATCAGATGTGGACTGTGTCGGACCCTATGCAAAGCCAGTGCGGATTGTATAGGCTGGTGTGCACAGGTCCGACATGGGATGTGCAAGATTCCAATCCAACGCCGATGCGGACTCGATGGGGTCCTATACGAAGCCGATCCAAATCTGCAGGGTCCTATACAAGCCGGCACGGATTGCATCGGCTCTCGCACATTTATGGTACGGAGTGTATGGGGCCCTATACATAACCGAAACGGACGGCATAGGATCCTATACAGATCCGATGCCGAGTCTGCGAGATCCTGTAGTATCAGGTACAGACTGTGGCAGAAACGCCCGTCCTCAACATAAACAATGTTTGTGTTTGTTTGCCCGCCGCGACCACAGCCGGGGGTGCCAAAACGGGCCTGGCTTATCGCATCGGGGTTGGATGATATGAGACGATCGGTGATGTCGGCGTGAAAATATTCGAACATCACACAGTGCCGCATCTCCTATGCACCGGCGATGCGGTGTGACCTTCAGACCCCATCTACGCGGACCCCCATGATAGAAGAAGGAATAAGCAACAACTTGCAGGGTTCTGCGCAAATTTCTTGGTTCGGGACTGGAATCCTCTCCCTGGCGTGCGGGGCAATGCCAAGGGGAGTCACCACAGGCGGGGTCGCCATCTCGACCAAACGCCATTTCCTAAAGAAATAGGCCACCCGGCACACGGCATTGGTCTCTTCACCGGCCAGATGGGACCCTTCACCCGCCGGCCAAGTGCGACTCTTCACCGGCTGATCCGTTCACTGGCTGATTGGGTGCTCCATCGGCAACGTTTTTCAATTTGAAATCAATTGCGTTTCTTTCATGTTAAGCCCCCAGGAATGAATCTACATGGTTAGGGTCGCCAAAGATTATCGGATGTCCTTTGATTTTTTCATACTTTTCGGAGGCCAGTGATGAGACCAATTCTAGGTATGTGCCACGGTGTAAACCACGATGGCAACGCAGCTACGAGAAGGATGATGACGATGACGATGACGATGACGATGACGATGACGATGATGATGATGATGATGATGATGATGATGATGATGATGATGATGATGATGATGATGATGATGATTAGGAAGGGAACGAAAAACATGAGGATGAGGAGGAGGAATGAGGAATAATGAGAAGAGGAAGGGCCCCGCGGTGTAGTGTCTCATAAGTTTCCCCAGGGATCCCCAGTGTCTCAAGATCTCATAGGTTTTCCCAGGGATCCAAGATCTCAAAGGTTCCCCCAGGAATTCAAGATCTCATAGGTTTCCCCAGGGATCCAGGATCTCATATGTTTCCCCAGGGATCCAAGATCCCATAGGTTTCCCTGGAGGCTCCTACGGAATCCTGGTATGGACAAACTGTGCGCACCAGCGAGGCGAGAGTCCAGCCGGTGAAGGGTCCCACCTGGCCGGTGAAGACATTTCCAGAGATCCGACGTCGTAATTTTTCAATACGGGGTCCCTGGAGGTCCCGACCCCTTCCCCGGGACCGGTTTTTCTTCCTGAGTCGTTTTTGGACGGTCCCGAGGCCCGGCGAGGGTACCTAGAGGCCGAAAAGGGCGACAAATCTCCGTCTTGATTTTTTCAGTGCGTTGGATCTCTTGGTTTTTCTCCCCCAAAACACTTCCGAGCCATCCAAACCGACCCCAACCGCTCAAACACCTCCCAAAATTTTCGATCCCGGAGCCTCGATTTTTCCGGGAGGAGCCCGTGTTTCCCCCTCGGTGGCCCCCCAATTGGCGCTGCCCGGGGCCAGTGCGGCTCCTCCGGAGCTCGAAACCTCTGCCCCGCCCAGCGTTGGCACCTCCCCGATAAGCTCTTGGCACCACCTGTCGCACGGATTTCGAGGCGCGGCCCAGGACGAGCCCCGAGGGGCGCTCCACCCCGGAGGCCTGCGGCCGGCGAGCGCCAGGCCCGACCGTGGCCCGCTGGGGCCTCCCCCAGCGGGGCGCCCGAGACCGCCAGCTGGGCAGGGCGGGGCACGGCGAGCATCAGTGCCCTCTCTCGCCGCCCGTCCTCCTCCCCTCCCTTCCTTTCTCGCTCCCCCTCCACTCCGTCATCCTGCTCAGTGCTCCTTCTTGCTTCCTGCTCCTGGTCCTCCCCCTGCTCTCTCCCTCGCCCTCTCCCTCCCTCTTCTCCTCCTCGCCCTCCTCCTTCTCTTCATCTTGTCGGCGTCACCGTCATCGTCGTCGTCATCCGTCCTCCTTCCCCTGAACTTCCTCCTCCACATCTTCGTCGTCGAAGGTGTGCCGCGCGCGCCGCTCGCGGGAAGGGCGGCGGCAAGCCTGCTGGCAGCTCTGCTCCAGGGTCTCCTCGGGCCACACCCGCCGAGAGATGAAAAGACACTGAGCTGAGACTAGGAGCGAGCTGGGCGAAAGAGGACGAACAAAGGCCAATGCAAAGCAGGATACATGAACGATGCCAAAATGAACCATGAAACCATTCGAATCAATCATCTGACCAGCGGGAATCGTCCGTTTGAGTTGTCTGATGCCAAGACTTGAAAACAATCCCATACGAAACCCCCATGTGGACATGATTCCTCCACCAGCAACACCGCGTGCCGAAAATCAGTCGCCATCCATCCGTGTCGCGTTTGGAATTTTCAAGACGAAATGTTGTGGCGTTGGGGGAACTATCCACCGTGCCTTGATACATGCCAAGCATTAATACAAACGAATACGCGCGGCACTGCGTCGAAAACCATGTTTTGAACACGCTCTCCATACGGTTGCGTTACTGTCGGACGGTGCTCCGTAAAAGTAGAATGTGCGGCGCTGACGCGAAAACCACAACCAGCGAACGACCAACCCTTCACTGTAAAAGTGTTGGAATCTGTCGCAGCTGTTGGACTCCACGCCCAACCGTACATTCCCCAAACAATTCTTGCATCTAGGACTTCTTACTTGTCAGTTGTCGGCCTGGCGGCTGTGTCGGTCTGGCGGCTACGTTGTCACCGTCGCCGCCCCGTCGCCGCCTCGTCGCCGCCCGTCGTCTGGGCCTTCTTGTCCGTGTGGCGGCTATGTTGTTGCCGTGGCCACCTCATCGCCGCCCGTCGTCTGCCTGATTGTCGGTCTGGCGGCTATGTTGTCGCCGTCGCCGCCCCGTCGCCGCGTAAACTGCACAACGTAGGTTCCGTTTGTTAGAAGAATATTCTGGTTTGCCCACCTCCAGACCTAACGCACAGCCCTGTTCACCTTGTTGTCTGGCTTGTGATTCCGCACACTCGCCCATCCCATATTTGAACCCACGCAATCCCAAACGGACGCGTATCGACCCCCCCATCACCCTGTGCAGTAATTCGTATGCGCGCGAACCCGTTTGACAAATTTGTCGGCACGCCAAAATCCTTCACACACCCTTGGTTTCGTAAGGCTAAAAAAAACAGGAAATCCTTATAATCACCTTTGGTCTCGTGACGGTTTCAACACCGAAAATCCCGAAAGCAAGCAACACATGCTTCGCAACATGAGTTTTAAACCGGAAACGTAGGCCCGCGCTGTTGCGATTTGTTGAGCAAATAACCTTTGGTTTTCTGACACCTATTTCCCACATGCTGGGTCGAAGTCGTTCGAAACCCATTGCGCGCGTGCTGTCGCACAGCCCTTTCGCAAACATTGGGACGCAGCCCTCTTCAACATGTTCGCCACATTCGACAGGGGCCCGTCGTGCCGCATGTCGAAATTATTCGGACGTCCTTGCGCGGATGCTGGGGGGGTGCATGTGGGGGGAGGGGGGGGCACGATCCCTGTCAAGAAATACCATGTGAGCCACACGTGCGCGTCGGCCGCGCACGCACGTCGAACTCCTTCCAAACATCACCTACACGAGGACACCGTCATTGTCATCGGCGTGATCAGCATCTGCGCCATCATTGGTTTTGCCGTCGTCATCGTTAACGCCATCACTACTATTACCATCGTGTCTACCTTTGTCGACGTCGCCATTTGTGGAGCGCCCAACGATCAGCACCACCTCGCGTCGGTCGCGCCAAACTAGCTGGCCGCCGCGCGTGCGAGCATGCGCGGGCCAGCACGGCCGGAGAGACGCACCAACCAACGACAAGCACTCATCGCAATCGCCGCTGCATGGGTTCTGCAAGCGACGCTGCGGGCGGGCATGTGGGGTGATTGCGCGAGCAGCGGGGGGCTGGCATCTCCAAATATTTGAAAATTACTGGCGCCGCACATGTTTCATCATATTGCAACATGTTTGCCCACCCCGCCCCCGTTTCCCCCAGACTTAACGGCAGCATTTTTTGCATTGAAATCTACATGTGATTTTGCCCCGTCGCCCATGCCAGAAATGTGGTCGTGCTATCCCATGCGATACCTTAGTGCCTCCAAGCATTCTCCCCGAAAGCTCCATGATAATTCTTGTTTGCGGGAAATCACCAATGTACAGCACTCCGGTGCAACAAATGGAACGAAACGCGCGCGCGGGCGTCGTCGCGCGCGCATGCCAAAATCCTTCAACAGTCGCCAGTAGCCTAAAGATTTCAGATTCGACAGCTCGACCACTGGTTTCGCAACGGGATTTTCAAGTAAACATGCGATCGCGCCCTTGCGCGCTCTTGAGAAACCTATTGCGTGCAAACTGTTCATCGCATGCTGCCGCGAGAGCCTCTCGCGCTCGCGCGTCGGCCATTGCGAAAACCAGTGCGCGCGCGCTGTCGGGAATGCCCCGTGTTACAGAAGAAGCGAAGTGCGCCCGCGCGCGCGGGCGCGCTTGCGCGCCGAAGCCCCGCCCGACAAGCGTCGGCTTCGGATGGGCGTCGACGCCAGGCGCCCCAACGGGAGACCCGTATTTCGCAACGTGCATTGACGCAGCAAATCTGCGCAAGCGCTCGCGCGAATTCCCTCGGACAAAACAGTGTCAATGGGTCCTGCAGATGCGGCGCGCGGGCCTCTCGCGCCGCGTCTCAAAAAAACATCGGAGCGCTCGTGCGCGAGCGCTGGGGGTGGGCGGGTGGCTGGTTGGGGGGCGATCCCTATCAAATGCTACCGCGCGGGCCACTCGCGCTCGTCGGCCGCGCGCGCCTGTCAAATTCTTTCCGGCCCCCCTTATTGACGACGCGACGACGCCATCGTCGTCGTCGGCGTGATCGACGTCGGCGCCGTCGTTGCCTCGCGGTCGTCATCGTCGTCGTCGCCATCGCCGTCGCTACTGTCACCATCTCTACCGTCGTCGACGTCGTCGTGGCACCGCGCCCGGCTAGATCGCCGACTCGCAGTGAAATGCCCGCTGGGGAATGCCCCGCATTCGGCGCCGCCGCGGCCGCGCTCGTCGCGATCGCCGCCGCGTGACTTCTGTGCGCCAAGTGGCAGGTGGGCGAGTGGGGTGATTGCGCGAGCAAAAGAATCGGCAACTCCAATGTTCCCCAAATCGCACGCGCTGCAAATGTTGCACCAAATTGATCATCATCGTTAAAGAAGAATTCGGATTTACCGCCCCCCCCCCCGGGGTTATCGGTCCACCCCGGGGATGCGCGGCTGACGCGCTTTTCTGCCCTGGGGAACCCATGCCGCCCCAGCCCGGCCTGGTTCGGCCCCCCTCATCCTCGTCAAATAAAACTTAGCGCGCGCACCCGTGCACCGCGCGCCCACGCGCGCGGCGCCGCGCGCGCGTGCCCCAATCCTCCGAACACCGCAGGTTTCGCAAGCATTTCAAATGCGCGACCCGGGGAATATGCAACATATACATGGTTTAGCAATGTGGCTTTCAACAGAAATTGCCGTGCGCGCAAGCACATGGCTTAGCAGAGCGATTTTCAACGACAAGTTTCGCGTTCGCGCTTGTGTAACCCCCCCCTGGAAACCATTGGTTGCTTTGCGACTTGCGGGCCCTTGGCTCGCGCAAATCGGAATCAGTTCAACGCCCGCTGCGCGCGTGCTGGGGGAGAAAGGGGGGGGGGGGGGCGATCCCTGTCGCGCGGTGCTATGCCAGCCGCTCGCGCGCGCGTCGGCCGCGCGCGCGCCGAAATCCTCGCGAAGCTGTCGCCGACGACGCGCGGGCGCCGCCGTCGCCGTCAAAATGGTCAGCATCGGCGCCGTCATTTGCCTTGCCGTCGTCAATGTTATCAGCTTCGCCAACGTCGCCGCAATCATCTTCGCGTCTACCATGGTCGATGTCGCCGCGATGCCGCGCCCGTCCGGAAGACCAACTCTCGCTGACGCGCCCGCGCGCCTCCGCGGCCTGCGAAGACGCGCGGGGAAACGCCCGGCGATCAGCGGCGCCGCGGCCGCGTAGGTCGCGCCAAATTAGCTGGTCGTTCTGCGCGCGAGCCTGCGCGCGCTAGCGCGGGCGCGGCGATGCGCCAGCCAGCGCCGAGCAATCATTGCAATCGCGGCCGCGTTTTTTTTTGGGGGGGCAAACCAATTTGCGGGTGGGCAGGTGGGGCGGTGGCGCGGGCAACGGGGTCGTCTCCCTCCCGCAATCGTCCCATCTCCCCCCCTGTCGTATCTGTTCGGCCTGGGGGTGCGCAAGTGCGCCGACGTGCATCCCAAATGTGCAATTATGACATGCCAGGTTCGACACTCCCCCATCGCCCTCGTCAAATAGAGCTATGCGCGCGCACTCGTTTAATCCCAAGTCAGCCGCTTCCAGCGATTGCCATGCAAACAAATGGCGATGTGCGCGCGAGCGCGTCGAGGCGCGCGCATGTCGGGATCCCTGCAGCCCGCCGTTGGTTTCGCATGGGTACCGAAAGCGCGCCGAACATGGTTTGCAACGCGTTTCTTCAAACAACTGCGCGCGCGCTTCTGCGAATTCTTGCGAAAACCGTTCGTGCTTTTCAGCGGCGTCATCAAATGCTCCCACAAAAAACCAAATGGGCCCCTCGCGCGCGCATGCCGAAACCATTCGAACGCCCGCGCGCTCGTGCTAGGGGGGGTGGACAATATCGCGATCCCTGTCGCGACGCCACGCGGGCCACTCGCGTGCGTCGGCCGCGCGCGCACGCCGAAAACCTTCCGAAGCCTTCATCGGAGACGCGCGGGCACCATCGCAATCAAAGTGGTCGGCATCGACGCCGTCATTGGCCTCGACGTCGTCAATAATTTCAAATTCGCCAGTGTCGCTACAATCATCACCATGTCTACCGTTGCCGACGTTGCCACGATACCGCGACCGCCTAAAAATAACGACTCGCGCTGGGGTGCCCGCGCGTCAGCGCAGCCTGCGAGACGCGCTGGGAAGTCCCCGGCGGTCAGCGCCACCGCGGCCGCGCCGGGCGCGCCAGACTGGCTGGCCACTCGGCGCGCGAGCTCGCGCGCTTGCGCGGCCGCGACGACGCGCCGGCCGGCGCCAAGCA